TTCTGCTCCTATGATGCTACTTGGCCTGCTGTGTTCATCCAGCTCTGCACCTTGTTGTGATGAGTCTTTTTTTTCTACAAAGGAGCTGGGTTCTTCACAGTTGGTTTCTGGACAAGGAACATGGGGCAAAGGGAAATATGGAAACTGTTGTTTGCACTAAACTACAGATTTACAATAAAAAGTTTTAACTCTCTGGCAGTTTTTTGCTGACTAAATTAATATTTGGATATTGTTGTATGAAACAGTAATAGTTACAGACATAAATTACATCTGTGTTCTCTTGTGTTGCTAATGGATAGTGTGGGATCTTTGGAATAGTTGATATTATTGTCGCTATTCACTTTGCTAGTCCGTTTTTAAGGCCTTTGTTCTGAACAAGAGAATGAATGTAATCCTAAAGTGTAGTGAGTAATTGCAGAACAGCTTCATTTGCTTGTAAGTTTTGAACTCTGGATCATTAATCGTTTCTCTTTACATTTGCATCTACAACAATATGACAGAGTGTCTTTTGGCTAAATACACCACCCACACGCACCCACCCACACAGGACAGCGAGCATCCTGCCTACAATGCACTGACTGTTTTTAGTACATTTTGTTTTCTCTTCTAGTTAACTAATTATCTGGAGGGTGGGGACCCTCTATTTGTACAGCAGAGCTAAAATGGCAGCTGGCCACAGTGACTCTTTAACAGTGACATGCAGCAGAACGGCACAACACAAAAGGTTTATTCACCCTCCCAAGAATAATGCTCTTTCAGAAGCTGTCTGTTAGAATCTGCAGAAACACTCCGCCAACGTGTGCCTGTCTTTCTCTGACTAAACTATGTTTCTGCTTTCTTAGCAGGCATTTCTGTAAGTTTCTGAAATGATTGCCGAATGATAAGTTCAGGGTTTTAAATTTGTGCACATCTCTCTCTGTGGTACTCACAAAACGATGGTAAATACTATTGTTTGTGAGTTGTACTCTGTATAACGGACAATATAAGCTCCACAATCTTTGAAGTTACACTATGCAGTCCTGCAATAACAGTGTGTGATGGTGGTCTTTGTGCGTGACTTCAGACCGTCAGCAGGGGCCACAACTTCAACCGTACAGGCCTAGGCTCTGCAATTTGCTCCCCTAAACCTCTCCCACTTTTCCTTCAAGATATTCTTTAAAAGCTACCTGATTGGGCAGGTGTCGTGTCACCTGTCTCAGTACCTCCTTATTGGATTGGTGTTAAATTTTCTCTCTCACTGCTGTGAAGAGTTTTGAGATGTTTTACAGTGGGAGAGGTAGTATACAAATGCACATTGTTTTTGTAGGAGATTCCCTTATTGTTTTTTCAGTAGAATTATACTTTCAAATAATGCAGTAGATGTTCGTGTGGCTGAGTTTAAGTGCGTGGAAATCTGATGTTTTTGTCCTGGATTCTGGCATACCATAGCCACAGTTTAAATAATGACTTGGACACTGCAATCCACTTTTTGAAAGCAAATGAAGAGCGCTAAACCTATTTCAGGAAACAGAGTCCAAATGTTTGTGTACAAAGAGGGGCTAGAACGGAGCAGAAAGGCTACACCCTTCCTCAATCCTATTTCAACGTGACTTTTTTTTCAATGATAAACGAAATGTGAGACCACATGACAGCAATATCTTTCCACCTGAGCTCTACGCACACTGATGAATGAGTTGCCTCCGTGCACAGCCCACACTCCCCCCCCCCCACCCCCGCAAAGGCCATTACATCAGAGCTTTCAAGTAAAGAACTTAAACCTGAAATTTACCACGCAATATCATTGTTGCCCCCAACCCCTAACTTGTCTCGTACAAATACACTGATCTGGTTTATCTTTTTGTCTCTCAAACTTTCCCCACCCTCCTTTTCTCGTGTATTAGGAAACACTGTGTGGAAAGTTATGCTTCGAGGTTAACACGTTCGACTTCTGGCATTCAATCTCATCGGGTACATTTTTTTGCTCACACATTACGTCCCAGTTTTGGAAACACATGATATAACATTTTCCATTGCTGTCAGGTCTGCTGTTGGGTGTTTTCAAAGCGTTACTGGTAGAAAGGCAAATAATATGTAGACTGTTACTTCCCTCATTGAACCAAGTCCTGTTCCTGTCAGCTGTTGGGGTGGCATCGCTTGTGGATTGGAGCTGGCAAAAGGTCTTGGCACCTTCCATCACAGATCTTGTAGACATAGAATCCCAATGATGTGGAAGCAGAACCATTTGGCCCATCAAGGCCACATCAACTGTCTGAACAGCAGCCCAATTAGACCTATCCCCCACCCTTTAACCCTGTATTTCCCATGGCTTACCCACCGACCTACACATCCTTGGACACTACGGGCAATTTAGCATGGCCAATCCACCTAACGTGCACATTTCTGGACTGTGGGCGGAAACCGGAGCACCCGGAAGAAACCCACACAGACATGGGGAGAATGTGCAAACCCACACAGACAGTTGCCCGAGGCTGGAATCAAACTCAGGTCACTGGTGCTGTGAGGCAGCAGTGCTAACCACTGAGCCACCGCGCTGCCCATGTGACAACTACCAGTGATTAGGGAATGTGTAGATCAAAGGAGCAGCAATACGTCAGTCTACAGATTCTCAAAGCTATTACATGTCACAGGGATTTAAACCTCTCCCTCCACGCATTCAGAAGTTTTGATAGTTTACACACACTTTGAGGACCTTGCAAAGGTAGAGTAGCCTTTTTGTAGAATGGTCAGCATGGACAAGTTGGACCGAAAGGTCTGTTTCCATGCTGTATGATTCTATAAGGGGGTACAGTCATTGGGCAGATTGGAGAAGCTGGGGTTGGTTGGGAAGGAGAAATCAGATGCAGGTGCTTATTTACCCTCTCAAAACCATTCATGCTTTTAAGGAGAAATGGTTGACCATTCAAACATTGGAAACAGAGGACACAGAATTAGAATGGTTGACAAATCAACCATGATCTTATTGAATGGTGGAGCAGGTTTGAGGGCCCCGAATGGCCTACACATGCTTCCAGTTCTAATGTCCTTAAGCAAAAGGAAGAGGCTTGAGGATTAATCTTCTTGCATGATGAGAGTTTACAATCTGGAATGTCTGGTTGCATGATGAAACAAATTCAGTTGTCACCTTCGAAAAAGAATTAGATCAGGAGCACAGCCTCTGGGCCAGAGGCTCTGGATTTGGATGACACTCCAGGATTTGATGGCAAAGGGAGATATGCTCATAATGCAGCCAAACCTGGTTGATTTATTCAACCTCCAAATCTTTCCAACACACATCAATGGCAGGCAGTGAGAGCAGGAGAAATTCATGGTCAGCCAGAATGGAGTGGTGGCAGCAGTGCAACAACCTCCTGATGTTAAAAGACTCTAGATATACACACACACACACAACCATCACAGATTGCACTCTGCTTGCAAAAATCTCCTTACTTTGGGAGAGAGGGAGTGTCAATAGTTGGAGAAGAAAGAAAAGACAGGGATCTGGGGAAAAAAATGGGTGTAACTCAATTGCTGTACAAAGGCCAAGGGGGATAGATATTCTGTTTGCAAGGGAATCAAAGGCTATTGGGACATGTAGGTGGGAATGTGGAATTCAAAACATAAACAAATCAGCCATGATGTTATTGAATGATGGAGCAGGCTCAAGGGGATGAATAATCTACTTTTACTCCGAATTGTTCAGTTTTTTTTTTGTATGTGCACATACTCGATGGGTTGAACGGCCCCTTCAGTTATCCTATGACTTCTATAACATGGTAATGACTTAGGCTTCAGCACATGCCTCGATTAACAGAGAACTCCAAAATATTGTTGATGCTTATCGTGGAATACTCTGTTCTCAATGTTTCCAATAACCACCAGGTCCCAGCTCCTTCCAGAGTAGAGCGAAGGGACCAAACCCTCATTGTGCCACATGACAACAGTTATGCATGTCACAGAAACAATGGATGCATGGATTGAACGCACCAGGATCATGTTGCTGATAATGTTATTCTAAAGCAATCATCTCGGAATTCTTCCATTTGGACACCATCAGATGTAGGAGCAGGACTAGGCCATTTGTCCAATCATAACTGCTCCACCATTCAGCGAGATCATGGCTGATCTGATAATCCTCAGCTCCAGTTTCCTGCCTTTTCCTCATAACCCTTGATTCCCTCACTGATTAAAAATCTAATTCAGCCTTGAATTTACTTTAATGACCCAGCCTTAACAGCCCTCTGTGGTAACAATTCAACAGGTTCACTACCCTCTGAGAGAAGGGATTCCTCATCTGTCTTAAATGGGTGACCCATTATTCTGAAATTATGCCGTCTGGTTCTAGACTCCCCCTAGGTTCTGGTATGTTTCAATATGGTCACTTCTCAAACCCCTAAACTACAATGAGTGTGGGGCCTACCTACTCAACCTCTCCTCTCCAGAAATATCCAGGAACAATGTAATGAACCTTCTCTGGATTGTCTCCAATGCCAGTATTTCTTTCCTTAGGTGCCTCTGCATCAATGGAAAAAGATTAAAAATTGCGACACACCAAACATGGCTGCCAAGGCAAACTCAAAGTAACTAATTTCCTGCGAAGACACTGTATTTCAATTGGAAACCTTGAGAATATCCTATCTATGGTAATTATGAGTCAACAATTATTATTCAACTTAATAAAAATTTTACAACACCAGTCTAAATCAATAATTCCTCAAAATGCTAGGCATCTTGTCTTATTGTGTTTGATGGAAACCACATGAGTGTGCCAGCATAATGGGTTAAATCTTAAATGGAAATGTAAATACCTTTTAAAATCAACCATTCAGACACGTGGGACTTGAATGCAAACATTTTGGCCCAGAGGAAGGGACATTACCACAACACCACCTTTGCCTGGTGATTCACTGTTCTCTTTGCCCTAATTAGATGGAAATTTCATAGAACCATAGAACTGCCTACGGTGTGGAAACAGGCCATTCAGCCCAACAAGTCCACACTAACTATGTGAAGAGCATTACACCCATTCTCACCCACTTACCCTGCAACCCTGCATTTCCCACAGCTAATCCACTTGACTTGCACATCCCTGGATGTTATGGGTAATTTAGGACGGCCAATCCACCTAACCTTCATATGTTTGGACTTTACGATTTGATTTCCTTTTGTGCAATGTGAATGTCGTCCAGGAGATAAAATTATTAATCAGCAATAACTTGAATAGAGAATAGATGTGAGTGAAAAAGGTCATTTGGTATCAATCCACATGGACCCAAAAATGTTTAGATTTGAGAACAACCACGGAAATGTCACGTAGGAAACACAGTAGTTATTTTGCATACAGGAACTCCCACAAGTATAAATGATCAGGCAATCGGTTTTTTCATAGATCACAGAATCCCTACAGTGTGGAAACGGGTCCTACGGCCCTACAAGTCCACACTGACCCACAAAGCATCCCACCCAGACCCACCCCGCTATAACCCACCTTATCTATACATCCCTGAACACTGTGGACAATTTAGCATGGCCAATCCACCCTAATCTACACATCTTTGGACTGTGGGAGGAAACCAGAGAAAACCCACGCAGGCATAGGGAGAATGTGCAAACTGCACACAGACAGTCACCCGAGGGTGGAATTGAACCTGGGTCCCTGGCGCTGTGAGGCAGCAGTGCTAACCACTGAACCACTGTGCCGTGTTTCTGTGATGTTCAACCAAGGATAGATATTGTGTAAAGCACTGGGGGATCTCCCTTGTTCTTCTTTGAGCTCTGAAGTCTTTTAAATCCACCTGAGAGGGATGGCGGGATTTCCACCAAGGTTGTCTTCCTTTAATGTTGCACTGGGAGTGTTAGAAACCACAACACCACGACTGTGGAGGTGATAGCACTCCTGCTGAGTCATGGTCAGTTACATTAAATCATTAACCACACACATCTGAGCTCATCAACTTCACTTTCTCTCTCCATTGGCTATCTATATAACAGAGACTGGTGTTTAATCTGATAAACATCCACTTGGTTTAATACTCGTTCAAGGGATGCAGATACAGCTGGCTGGCACAACATTTATTGCTCATCCCTAATGGCCCCTTGAGAAAGTGGTGGTGATCTGTCTTCTTAAACCCCTGCAGTCCTTGGGGGTGATATTAGGGAAGGAATTCCAGGATTTTCACACAGAAACACTGAAAGAACAGTGATATATTTTCAAGTCAGGATGAGTGGCTTGGAGGGGAGCTTGCAGTTGGTGGTCTTCCCTTTTGTATCTTCTGCCCTTGTCCTTCTAGATGGAAGTGGTTGTGGGTTTGGAAAGTGCTGTCGAAGGATCTTCTGTGAATTTCTGCAGCGCATCTTGTACATAGTAGCATTAGTATGTAAAAACTGTTAGAGGTGGAGGGAGTGAATGTTTGTGGATATGGTGCCAATTGAGTGGGTTGCTTTGATCTGAATCTTATTCAGCTTTTTTTTTTGAGTATTGTTGAGAGCTGCACCCATCCAGGGAAGTGGGGAGTATTCCATCCTACTCCTGACTTGTGTCTTGTAGATGGTGGACGGGCTTTGGGAAGTCAGGAGGTAAGTCACCAGCTACAGGATTCCTATCCTCTAACCTTCTGTCATAGCCAGACTATTAAATGGACAGTCCATTCTGCTCTGGTCAATGTTGGCTCCCAGGATGATGGTAGTGGGAGATTAAGCAATTGTAATACAATTGAATGTCAAAGGGAGATAGTTAGATTGTCTCTTGTTAGAGAAAGTTATTTCCTGGCACTTGTATGATGTGAAAATTATTTGCCACTTGATAGGCCAAACTGGATATTGTCCTGGTCTTGCTGCATTTGGACATGGACTGCTTCAATATTTGAGAAGTCGTGAATGATGCTGAACATTGTGCAATTATCAGTGAACATCTCCATTTCTGACCTTATAATGGAGGGAAGGCCATTGATGAAGCAGCTGAAGATGGTTGG